AAAATATTATTTTTTAAATTCTTATATATTTAATGTCATAAATATATATATATATATATATATATATATATATATATATATATTACTTTATCAACCATTAATAAAATAGGTTAAACAAACAATGGTACTATAATATGTGCGCTTAGTAGTTGTACTCAAAGCAGTAATTAATCGAGGGGAGAAGAATGTTACAATTATGTGAAATGCTGAAAGCTAAGCCATTATCGAGGTATTCGTTCTCAACGTCGTGGTATTTGTCGCGTACATTGTTATTCGCCGTCGTCTTATGTACAAGAATACTGTTTGTATCACTGTGATCGATATAGGTAAATTATTTCTAACGGATAATTTTAGAGCACCGATTAATTTATAAGCTGCGGCTATCACATCCGGGAAGAGAATAGTAAGTAGGTGCGCACGCGCGAATATTGACAATGCAATAAGCGTGTGAGATAGCGCGAGACGTTAATGTCGGCAATACACTTGTATTATTTTCAAATGTAGAACATTATCCAATATTGTTAAAATGATGTAAATTCTCGGCACTATTAAGAAATAGTTTAATATCCACATTCTTTATGACATTAGATTTTTAATTATAATTTTCGAAGTACTTGTGTTTCTTAAAGCATTTTCGGTATGCAACTTGTCGTTTATAACTTGAAATAAAGATCATTTAAATATAATCTGAGTTACGCAATACATTGTATTATAAAACAATAAATTATGACAAATTGATTTTTAACAAAGAAACTAATTCTTCTAATATAATGACTTTGTAATGATAAAATTGGACATGAAAAAAATTTAGGTTTTTAAATTAAAATTTATAGCAAGAAATTTTCTTTATTTAACATTAAAGATTACGAATGAAACTTACAAATCTTTCAAATGTTTTTTTATAAATGTGCAAATTCATAATATGTAAAAATTGTTCATAAAGCTTTTCCAAATTCTTTCAAATCTATATATACCGAATTATTTGATTTTGACACTCTTCATTATATCCTAAATGACTTTTATATTTACATTTTAATTCAATTTTTACATTCTTCAACATGTATTAATATTTAAAAAACAATTTTTTATGCATTCAACATATCAATTCCGTATCTTTCAATTTCTGATTTTATATTATAATATAACTAGACATTAGTTCAGCTATTCACGGTCTTCGTGCGTATGTAATAATGCCTCGCTTAACGTGGTGAATCATAAGATATAATAGTAAAAATATATTATTTAGAAGGTCTCTAGCAACGATCTATTCGAACCTTCATAAATAAATTTTGACGATTTTTGAAGAGATTTAACATCATATTGCCAAAAATATATTCCTATTCAAAATTTCATTGAATCACTTGGAGCGTAGTAAGATTCGTAGCTTTAACTTTAATGAAAATAATGGTGTGCATTATACTAAAGCATTAATTTTGGTAGCAGACATAAATATTTCCAATACTTTAAAAATATTACAAGGAAATTATACGGTATCCGCGTTACAAAAAATCCTACTAAATTATATGAAAACAATATTAAAGGATATTAGAATATAACGTTTGTTATGATATTAACATATGGACTTAATAAAAGCGAATGATTGCACATGGAATGCCTCATATGCATGTACATAAATTCACGAAACAGACTGAATACCAAATAGTGCAGTATATTTCTATGAACGAAAACATATAGTCATATGCGGTGTGATACATTACGTGAACGCGTGGGATAGATGTTTCCGTACAGGATGAGTCGAATTTTTCGGTGAATTTATAGAAAAGTGATTCAAAGTCGATTTTAGCATAAAAATGGCATTTAAATCTGATTTAATATCGACGTTTAAATTAATAATTTTTTTCGACTTTATATACTTAGGAAGCCAAGTGTCTTAATTTTAATACATAATTCAATTACTTATTATAACACAAATGTAATATTCTCACGTTCATATAATATAAATAACAATGAGTATATCTTGTAAATATTCATTTCGATATTTAATCAGTATTTTATTATGGTATTTTTTTTTTTACTAAATGAGTTTATTAAAAATACGCTGCCCTTCGGTCAACTAAATTTTTTAATTTTAAAAAATTTTATGCAACAATTGGGATGCTTATAAAAGAAGCAAACACAAATTATTTCTTTTAGTTTTAAAATCCAGTATACGTGTTAAAAAGAGTGAATTTTATCAAAATCCACAACTTTGTATATATAAATTTAAAGACTTAAAAAGTAAATAATTAAATAAATAATTTTTGGTTTTTCATTTTATATTGTTATTACGAATTAGTATGGAATATAGTTTTAATTTTCGATATTACTTTAGATAAAAATTACAGTCATTTTCCCTTATTTTTAATTATAATATATTTATAAATAGCGAATTAAAAATTAGCTTATATAGTTAAATATTGTTAAAATATTTTATAGTTTGGTAAATCATATGATGGTACTATTTACGGTAAATACAACATCGATTACATAAAACATTCGCATTCAAATCCAAATTAAGAGCTAATTTCGAATTATTCAGATTTATAAATTAATAACAAATACGTCTTAAAAATTATATATTTTAAATTATATATTGAAGAAATTGTTTAAATTTAGAATAAATGGACAATAAACATTTTAAATGCTAATTATAATTATAATTAATTATAACGAAATAAATATTTCTGAATGTACTAATGGTTCTATAATTACTGAATGTACTAATGATTTTATATATCATATATAGTTTCACAAATACAAAATACAAAATATAATGTTATATATTTGTTAGTTAATTTATCATTTGTATCTTACTTAAACGTCATATGTATTATTCTTCAGAATTTATTTATTTAAAATATTTTTTATCACTAACTTTTACGCCAGTAAAAAAATTTTGATGCACATGCAATAGTATAAATATTAATGAATATAACATACGAATTGTAATAATTATTTATATGAGCTGGATTTGAATTTATTGCAAATAAATTTCTTACGCATAATTATAATGAATAAATATTAATTATTCTCAATTTTTTGAATGAGTGATATAATATAATATAATTCATTGTATTCCTATTACTATTTCCAAAAGATAATTATTTCCTTGATCATAAATGATTTTATAATCTCTATATCGTTCGATCAAATACAGAAACAAAGTAAAGTTTTATAGCCGTGATATATAGTTAAGATTACATTTTAATTATAATTGACTTTATTTCTTTGACATACTTATGCAAGCTAGTTTAAAGTTTATAAAAAAATCCAGTATAGAATATCGCATTTACATTAACAATCTCAAAAAGTTTTATATTTATATAGGAAACCTAATATACAGTATTTCATTTCATTTCTATTATCATCAAAGAAATAAATTTTTTACGATAATGAAAAATACTATCATTTTATTCGCATATGATCTACTGCATCTATTTGTTGCTTAATCCACATTGTAAATAATTATAAATTTAAACGATAAGTAATTCTGTAAACTGGTAGTTACAAAAATTTACATTCTCGAACAGTAAAGAAGTATCTTTACAAATCTACAACAAAACAATGCACAAACATAAATGAATATTTTAACTATGTAAGTGAAATATAAAAATTCTATGGTCAATATTAGATACGTAGGATATTTTATTTTTAATTATAAAGAATTGCGAGAAAAATATTCATTAAATACTAATTTTCCTGCAAATTCGAAGAATTATCTCTTATCAATATTATATAATCCAAAGGAAATTCTACAATACTTACTAAAAAATTCATAAATATTATCCAAAGATTCATGACTTTCATGTTAATCCATTTAATAAAATTATAAAATTTGCTTATAATAAAAAGACATTCAGAAATATTAATAAATGTACAATAAATTCTAAGGTAACAATTACAATACAATTTCTGCAATAAAAATAAGAGAAAAATTTTTTTTTTAATACTTAAATATTTGAATGAATTCAGGAGTATATTCTAGAAAAGTAACTCATTCAATATTATAAAAAGTACGCTAAAAATTAAATATAAAAATAAAAAAAAAATTAAAATATGTTTCTACTAATAGATTTTCATAATTACATGAAAATGAATTTTCTTTATATAGTAATTGATTTTCGTAAAAATATAATTTGAACAATAGTTTAAAACAATTACTAAAAACAGAATAATTATTTCATATTGATATGATATAAATGTAATACAATATATGAGATGAAATCTTTATATTAAAATGATTCCTATACTGAAATCATTTACTATAAAAAAAAAAAATTGATTATTAGACATATGAATTCCGACAAAAGCGATAATCATATCAAATAGTATAAGATTGAAGTTTTATTATCTTACATAACAACTTTGTTCATCCAATACACTGTATGAAAATTATATATTTAATAAAAAATATTACTTGAATTCTTTATTGATTATTAAAAATTTTAATAATTTAAAGAGATTTACATTTTAATTTATTCGACAAACCAATTATAACTTCAATTTATTTAGAAACAATTTAACTAATAATTTGTTATTGACTTTTATATAATAATCACATGATTTTTTCTTAAAGAAGCTATTAAATATCTAAGAAAGTCTAGTCTAACAAGAAAAGAATGTATGGGCATACATAGATATTCGATATTTAATCAACATTATACGTTGAGAATTTGTAAATAATTGTGCTTGAGCATCGTAAATGAAAATCATAATAAATGAAATCATTAATGTATAGTTTCGTGTCAACAAAGAAAAAGATACAATAAGAACGTAGATGAATCAATACATATATATATGCAGGAATTTGAAGCAAAATTCGTAGTGTATGAATTATAATGGATGTCAATTATATCGTACAAAGTACAAATTTTTTTCAATTAGAATAGGTTTCATTGAATTCGGTGATTTTTTTTCAATTATCATCAATAAGTTCAGCAAATTGAGCGCTATGCCAACTAAAAATTTTTGTTACATGATGACTTTTTTATGGGTTTCAGACCAGTTACACCAGCTATCGAAGAGAAAAGGTATATTCTAAGTATTTCTCTTCTATCATTAGAAGCAATTAAATTTCACATGCACGATATTCTTATATTCTCTTACACGCTCGACATTTCTATGTTTCTAATGGACATAGTGCTCGTGCGTTATTATAGCTTATCTAATCCCAGTCCTAAGCTCTCACTTTTTCTTTTAAAGCATCCACTTATTCTCTTTAATATATATATATATATATATATATATATATATATACGCACATGCACACTTCTATATATAATAAAATATAATATAATATAGTGTAAAATTTCAGAAATAAGTAAAAGGAGTAAACGATTTTTTTTTTATCTAGTGAAATTACTAGGAGCAATCAATTTTGTGCTTATTAAACATTATTCAAGTATGTGAAAATATTGATTAGTTAAATTACTAATAACGATTACATTTCCATAAAAAGTAATGTGTAAAGAAAAGTATTTATATGATAAAAATTAATCTAGGCAAATTATATCGTTAAAATATGTATTAAGAAAATATATTCAAATGACAATACGCCATGAAGATTTATTTTGTTTATATTTATATACTCAGATTAAAGCTGACTATTGATTCATGTTATGTACTATAAATTGCATATATGTTGCTCCAATCTGTTTCCAAAATGAAATTTCGTGTTAGAAAGGCCAATTTGTGATATAATAATGTATATAATTATTATTTATTTTATATGATTTATTTTATATAATAAATTTGTATAAACATGATAAATGAAGACAAAATGTAAAATTTATCTTTTCTACTAATTAAGAGATGATATTTTTGTTATGATAAAAGTTTTTTATCATGTAAAAAAACACATAAATAAAGCTTTCTTTTTGTAGAAACGTTTAACATAAAATTGACGCCTTTTATCATAGTATAATTCGGTCCATATGCATTTAATATTTTATTTTGTGCAAATTACAAACATTCAACTTAATTCATTTTTTAATTTTTTGTTTTTTTTTTTAAGTAAACATTATTGTATAATATTATGTTGTATATATTGTTATATATTGTACATATGCATATATTTTCTAAAAATTAAAATTCATTTAAATATACCGAACGATATTTTATAATAAAAGGCCTTGAATGGTGAAAGTAATAATAATATCATTGAACGAAGTTAATTTTATCAATGTTAAAGAATAATCATTTATAATAAGCTAATAATAAACGTAAAATTTCAAAATGTTTTTATCAACATAAGTCTAATATTTATAAAGAAGACTATTTTTTAATCATTAATTATTCTTGCAAAAATTATTTAGATTATTTATTATCATTTTAAATGTAAGATTTAATATAAATTTATAATTAATGAATAATAACTGATGTATAAAATATTGCTAAGTGTGCATGAGCTTGTCTTGGAAAATCATGAGCTATACATGCATGTCTCATTGGTATGATACAAGTCACTTAATATTTAAAAATCACTTAATATCCTCAAAATCAACAGATCTGCATTCGTACTATTATGTCTTTAATAAATAAGATATTAGTCTCTTCATTACAATACATTAGAATTATAAACAATTTATGAGCAATCGATAATATATTCATTCGATTACATTGTGCATTTTTTTTTTTATATTATTCATTTTTAACGTAACTGAAGTGACAACAAAATATATGAACTATACCAATAAATTTACAAATTTAAGTAAAAAGGACAAATAACATTGAGTGGCTCAATTTTACTTGTTAAGAGCTTAGTATTTAAGCTTTATTTATTCGTTGACTTTTAGCCATAACTTTGTTCAATATTTAGACTTTTGAAAATATAAAGCACCCTGTCTGCATTATTAATTATCTGTTAAATATTTATTACATTAATAGAAATTGTAATATGTACATTACTTATATAATAGTAATTATCATTATAGTTGGGAAAGTATTCATAGTAAGATTAATGCGAAGAATGAAAATTAAACAATTAGTTTATTTTTAATAATTATCAAATATCATTTTATAAGTTTTATATGATTTATTAAATATTAAATCACTAATTAAGCTACTGTCAAATTAAATTAAATTCAGAAACATTCGAATGTATAATAAATCACTAATAGATAAATAATCAGCAACACAGTATTGTTTTTAAAATAATTTGATAAAATATCACAGTGGAATGAAGTAGATACGATGAGATTGATTTAATATAAAAAAACTTAGACGAGATTTTCATAAAATTGCTTAGTATAAAAAATACTTTTAATGCTTTTAAAATATTTATATAAAAAAAAAATATATATATATATATATATTTTTATATTCATATTTTATATTTCATATTTTATATTACATCTATCAATTGAAAATGTACATAAAGTATGAACTGAAATTATTTTTTATTTCTAACAATAATTTTAATCTGCATCAACCTATTAATTATTTGTTGTTAAACCACTTTTATTTATTTTTCTGCTAATGTCTACTTAATATGAATTTTCAATATACATCAAATCATAATTTTTACATTACATAAAAACCTATAATATTATAACACATAACTTTTGAATAACAGAAGACACGAAATGAAAAGAATATTATTGATGTCTTATATGTAATATGAAAGTATTCCTATATGTTCTTAAATAAAATTTATATTTTTTAGCCTACAATATATCACATTTTATTTTTACTACTCTATTTTATATTAATCACTGAAAAATTACTTACTAAAATATCTAAAATTTAATTATATTTAGAAATACTTTTACCTATTTACTCTGATATTTACGTAATATTATTATTTTTATGTTATGTAAATTTTCTCAGCATAATTAATAAACTATACTACCTAATTCCTAAAATATCATAAATAATGCTAGAAATGCAATAATAAGCAGAGACTATTAATATTTTCATAATAATATCTTATTTCTATATTGTAATTGGTATTTTAGAAAGGAAACGATATTATTTCAGTAGCTTAGCGATAATAATGAAAAATTCTATTATTCCACTCAAAGAAATACTTAAATTATTAACAATTATTAATAAAGTTAATTGAAAATTTACTAGTTTCTCATAAAACGAAAGCTTCACTAAAATGAATCATTAGATATAAAAAAGAAATAATTAGATTAGAACATTGATAATGATTAGAAGCATTATTGTATCAGATTTTCCCTTGATTTTTCAAATAATAGATGGAAGCATAAAAGGCTTTATCGAAACAACTCGTGTTCGTTCGATTGTAATAATTCCGTCGAATGTTAAAAAATGTCGTAACTCACGTACTTTCACCTTCTCATTATATTTTCGCGTTATATAAATAAGCGCACATACATAAATTCGTACCTTAACATACGCTCTCATTAAACGAATAAACGAATGCAAAACACATTCATGTCCTTTGCCGACATGCAGCCGCCTATTAGACAGTTCTATTACAAAAAGCTCTGCATGTGATGGATGCCTTGCGAGGCCTCATTAATGCACTCCAATGACGCATGTGACGTTCGGACAAACGAAAAAAAAAAAAAAAAAAAAAAAAAAAAATAATGAGAACAGCATCATTCAAACTTTACATTGCTAGTGCAATTTTAAAAGATTTTTTTTTTTTTTTTAGACTTTTCGCAGCAAGCGCCATTAGCAGCTGCACTATTAACTGTTTCGTCATTACAGTCGTATCGTCAATGATGAAAAAAAGATGGAATATAAGTAGATGATCGATTAAATAGAATATTCGATAGATAATTTTACGTATGTCATTAACTTGAATGCTGATTGTTATGATTAAAATGGAATTAACGAATAATCCTTCCTCACGACTTACCAATGACTTTAAAGATTTTTAATTTAATTTTACAGCAATATCAATAATGTTTCTTATATTTTAATATCTAAGTAATTTTTAATATTATAGATAAATTTTCTAACGATCATTCAAATTTACCATTTAAATTTAGTTACAGTTTATCTTGAAAGTCATTGACGATTTTTTATTTCCTTTTTAAATCACTATAAATCGAAGCTTGGCTACATAATTTCTATATAGAATATTTATCGAGATTGCATTAATTTACTTTAATAAAGTATATAAATAGGAGTTTGCTAGAGTCTCGCTGCTTAAATTATGTATTTTTACTTCATACAAATCTCGAATTATAATTTATACGAACTAAAATTATTGATATTACAGAAACCACTCACGTCCAAATGCTGGCGAAAATGAGTTAAGTACAGATTTAATATTTTTACCGTAGTCAACTTTATTACATTTCTAGAATAATCATTACTTACAATAGAATATTACAGTATATAACCAAATACAATCGCAAGTTTATAAAATTATTTTAAGAAATTTATTTTAAAAATTCAAACAAATTTTCTGCGATCATTTTCTTGATTTTCCGATTAACAGATCCCGACCAGAGTAATAAACATTTTTTTCTCTATGCAAACTATAATCTTACATTATTGCAATTCTTTATCAATAAAATATTACCATGAAAATTTGAATACCAAAGGTAGCAGGTTTTTTCAATAAAAATAGTAAAAATCTGTGGATCCATCTAGTAAAGTATAATGTTAATAGTTTAGTGCCTATTCCATTTACGTACAATTTTTCAACTATTTGTAATATTATTCTCGACATAGTACTTTAAAGTTAAAGGTATCCATGCTTTTGCAGCTACAATTTATTGATATAATTGTTAAACTGACCTATTAAATTAAAATTATATATATCATTACTCCAACGCTATTTGAAGCTGCACGATTTATCTTACATATAAAATTGTAAGAGCATTATTAATGAATAGAAATTTATAAGGAAGAAATGTGCTTTTATTTAAAAATTAAAGATTAAAAATATTACAAAAGCTTTAGCAAAACTTTTTCTTTTAAATTTTAATTATTATCATATACATTTTATATAGATTATTTTATTAATTGCTTTTGTAAATACATTATAGCTTATTTATCAAGTTTGCCGTGAAAAGATTTTGGAAAACGTTTCGAAATAACATGATGAATTTTTATCTTTTTAAATATTTTTTTCTTACAGATTAATATAATCTGCGAATAACTAAGAAAACTATGTATCACTTAGTGGGTAAGGTAGAACTTACCAAGTGCCGATAATTGTTAGGTACGCCGATAATAAAGAAATTTTCATAACTTTAGGTTATAATGTCAAGATTTCTGGTTATATCGTAAGATTATTCTAATTTTTAAAATTATTTTATATAACTAATGAAATTTATTGTCATTTAAGAACAGCTGTTATAAATATATAAATACTGCATAATATCTTTTAATTCATAATGACTTTTAATTGCATCTGTATTATCAACGATAGGTTAGCTGAAATTCTGCTTTGCCTACAATGATATAAGCTCATAAAATTTTCAAAGATATTTTAAGTTAAATTTTTCTTGCAGCCTAATGTATCGTAATCGTGTTAAAGAAAAAATTATTTTTATACAATTATTTTTAATTTTTAATATAAATATTATTATACATTTACATTGCTTATTTCAATTAATTACGTTCTTATTTTTCATCTTTTTTTATCTTATAATGTTTATGTTCAAACTAATTTTTGTTCATACAATGTTGCAAATGTTTCTATATTAAATAGGTACTTCTATAAGACGTTGTAATATTTATATTTAATGGTTTGCTTAATCATTTCATTAATTACTTGTAATATTTATATCCTTATTTATAATGATAATAATAAAATTTATAGGATAGGTATCCTCTTTTTTTTTTTAAAATTTCAGATTATTGTATAATAGATGTCAAAGTTGTTAAACTCTTGCACTAACATTAATTAGTTCAACCGAATTTATACTAGTTTTATACATTTTTTCAAGAACGTTTTCTATATTCTTAATATTTTAAATTTTACAAATTATAATATTTTATTTATCATGACAAATAAATAGATAAATAATAAACTTTTTCTAATAAGTTAGAAAGATTATGTAATGTAAATTGTTTTATTTTGATTAATGAATAATAATAGGCTTTGAATTTTTATTATTGTCTAAGTCGAAATTCAATTTAATAAGAATTATACAGATTATTTGAAATATATATGTATAATGATAATATCGTTACACCAAATCAGCAGTAGAATTTAAGGTTAAAGTTATTTCAGTAAATTTGTTTAAATAATAAGTGTTATTATTCTTTAATGAAGAAAGTACATTCTTACAAGTATATTCGTATTTATAATATATAATATTAATGTATTTATTTATTTGATTAACTATACTTTTTCAACAAAATTGCAACTCGTACATTAATTTCAATTCTTTCTAATTCTAATGCTTTTTCTCTATGTGAAAATTGTGCAAAAAAGTAGTGTCAAAATATAAGTTTTTTCTTTGTCTGAAAAGTTAAATTTTGATGATAGAAAAAGTTTTCAACCATTTTTTTTGTCATAGGAATACAGATTTTATCCGTTTGAAAAATCTATGAAAGCATTGAAATTTTGATAAATAATATCTTTTAAGTATATATTTAGTTAGTTTTATAAATCCCTGAAATCGTTGAGTAAAAGTTTATATTTCAAACGCATTTATCTTAAATCCACTTTTTTCAATTATCACAACATTCGCGAAAAACTTTTAGCTCAACCTTTTCGTAGTTTCTTTTAATTGCGTATGACTGTCTATCATAGGGTCTATAATTAACTTTTTACATTATTGTTTTTGTATTTTTAAATTGAAAAGATGAAAAGCTGCAAAATTCAATACTTTTACTTTGAACGTTGGCTACTTTCTAATTTCTTTATGAAATTAAATAATTCTAGATTTTGTGATAGCCACACTAATATTGATTAATATTATTATTATTGTTTATTATTATTATCATTTTATACTATTCATATATTCTTATACTATTCTATATTCAATACTACTAGGCCACCTTTAAAAAGAGAAAGGATTAAATGGTATATTCTCATCACCTATAAGTTTTAGTACGTATTCTTTCACAAGCTTTTCCATTTTATACAAATGTTAAATAAATTTCCTATACCTTTCAGCACATAAAGATATATTTAGTAGTTTCTTTTAATTAGTATTATTATATTTACAAAGTTAAGCTAAACTAATATTTAAATTATGGAGCTTCTAATTTGACGAATATTTAAACGTTGGTTCACGTTACATATTCAAATAATAAGAGTATCTTTTATAAATGAATAAGTGTCGATGATTACTTTTTCAAGAGAATTTCATAAGGATTTGATTCCTCAAATGAATAAGGAAAGGAAGGAAATGAAAAGAAATTCGAAATTCGAATAAAGGAATCGTATAAATGTATCTGCTCATGTACGATAAAGTTTCCAATGATACAATGATAAAAGCGATAGTGTTTTCTTCGAACAATAATAGACTTTGGAAAATCAAAAACTAAAATCTTTGATAGCCTAATTTATTATCTATGGTTGGGGTAAGTTTCTATAAAAGAAAATATATCAGTGTTAATGGAAGATTTACAAGTGTAAAAGAAGCAGAATCGTTCATCAAATGGAATAGAAATGCAGTAAAGTAATGAAATTGCTAGTATAGCACTTAGAAAGCCAACGTGTGGATGTTGAAATAACACATCTACTTAGGAGTGGAAAGAGATACTAAGAAAACATTCATACAATATGTAGTTTCCCTGGAGAGAAAAATCAAAAAGCTGTTTAATACTAAAGAGGCATTGAAAGATATGTAAAGATTGTAAAAGTAGTATAAGTATAAGAAATACAAGTATACTGTTTAAATATTAAAAATAAAGAAGTACATTTATTTGATAAAGGAATTTGTTTTAGCTATTTTTATTTTATATTTGATATCGTGAAATATTTTTGCAATGTAATATTAATACTTGCACGAATTATTTTAAATAATCGACAAAAAACATGGAAAAAGATTCAAAAGCCTGTATATAGGGGGAATCACGCAAGTCTATAAATGTTATTTAAATAAATAATATATTCATTAAAAAATCTAATATATATATTAGAGATAAAGAGAAAGTATTAAGTTATTAATAATTTTTTGGTTAACACTAACAGACTTTCAGAATTTCCAAAAAATTGATATTGCATCTATTGTTCATACTATTTCAGAAGTTTACAATAATTTATTATAAAACAACACGATTGCTTATATATTACAAAGATCATCAATTTCACTTTATCTCCTCTTAAATGGAGCACATTTTCCATTTTCCTATTTTAGTACACATTGTTCCTAAATATTGTAGATTTCATAAGTGTAGAATATGAGAGTGTTTTTGCAATTTTGGATTACGAAAATCATCAAGAAAATGAAATGATGAAAACGAAAATTAACTTTTTTACGTGTATATTTTAATAACTAATGGGAAACTATATATATATATATATATAGTTATATATATATGTATATATATATAAAATATATATATACATATATATATTTAATAATTAATACATATATATTTAATAGGTTTTATAGTTCAGGCAGATGTATTAAATAATAACAAAAAATTATTTTTCATAAATACGTTAATGCAAATAAATATACTGAATTTAATTTTTTTTTTTTTTTTTTTTTTTTTTTTTTTTTTTTTATTAATTATTCATGACATCTAATTTTTTATCCTTATTTAATGAATTATGCACAAAGAATTTATGCATAAACAACTTTTACATAATATTCGTGAATTGTATTAAAACGAGATTGTTGAAGTATTTTTATGAAACAGTAAATACTTGAATTTACGTAGACAAAGTCTGTGATTAATAAAATTTATCAATTTTTATATGGAAATAAATTATTACACTATTAAGGAAAAATTATTAAAAATTTAATTACAAATATTCACTTAAATTTTTATACAACTAAATAAAAAATTTAATATTGTTGTATTATTTTTATCATGTAATATTCATACTATAAAAATATTAAAAATTTTATATCTGTTTAAAAGTATCAAAAGTTTTGTTGAAATCTTATAATAGTTTTTACATTTCAATTATAATAAATTATATATCATTAATTTTCAAATTATCATCATTGATATTTTATTTCTAATTAAATATTTTATTTTCATATTCAACAATTCTTTAATTACTTTTTCCTTTTAATTTTTTTATATATTTACAAAACTGCCTAAATGATTATTGACAACTGAAAGTCTTACTTGTTAACTTGTATAAACGTTTTAAAATAAGAAAATCTA